TCATAACACTGCAAATTTTGAAAACAGTGTGGTTGTTTGGATAAGAATGACCCCCAATCATATATTTGAATACTTAGTCACCAAGGAGTGACACTATGAAAGAATTTAAAGAATTACGAGTTGTGGCCTTGTTGGATGAGGCGCATCTTTAGAGGTGGGCTCTGACGTTTTCAAAGCCCACTGCTGCTCTCTCTTTCTCAGGCTAAGGATGAGGATGCAGCTCCCAATTACAAGCTCCGGTGTCATGTGTGCTGCCATGCTCCCTGTCAGGATGACAATGCACTAAGCCTCTGAAACGGTAAGCAAGCCACAGTTAAATTCTTTCTCTCGTAAGAGTTGCCGTGGTCCTGTGTCTCTTCATAGCAAAAGAACGGTGACCAATGCCGGGCGGTGGTGGCGCACGCCTTTAATCCCAGCACTCGGGAGGCAGAGGCAGGCGGATCTCTGTGAGTTCGAGGCCAGCCTGGTCTACAAAGTGAGTTCCAGGACAGCATCCAAAGCCACAGAGAAACCCTGTCTCTAAAAACCAAAAAAAAAAAAAAAAAAAAAAAGAACGGTGACCAAGACAGACAGTGTCCATGAATGTATCCTATGATAGATACTTGGTGTAAACTCAAGAAGGATGGGTTTGGGCATCAGCCCAATATTTCAGCAATTAAGAACAAAGACTGAAACAAATCTAAAGTGAACTAAAGGTAGCAACACAAGCATAGGGAATTTGATTGGCTAAGGCAGAAGAAGTATGTCAACTGAGTTTGATGTAATACATAACCAAAGAGATACTAAGGTACAAGAAGATTATGAGAAAGAAGCCAAGGGCTCAGAACCTCTTTTCCAACTTCTGCAAAGAGCAAGTCTGTTGGGGGAATTTTGCAGGCCCCATGGAAAGCTCATTTTCTTAACTTTTGGGTGTAGATAATGCATGCCACAGAAATGAAAGCTTTAATATCCAAAGCCAGAAGCCAAAACCGGTTGGGTGGGTGCTGGTTGTGTTGCGAGAACCTGCTCTGTGCTGAACGCATTGCCCACTTGCAGGGGCTCTCACAGACCCTCCCGGTCTCAGAGTCCATGGTCTCGCCCTGGCCATCTCCTCACTCCACTCTCCAGAGCCTTGTTTCTGGTTGGGCAGAGGAAACAAGATGGTTTCCTACATATCAAGAGGGAGCGTACTGGGGAAAAGGTCACTGTGGGATCCCAGCCTTGAATTCTGCAGCCATGACTGATTCGGGTCTTCATTTTCCTCTGGGGTGAAGTGAACAAACCATGTTTCAAAGTCAAGGGTGGAGAATGTAAGTATCTCCAACCAAAGAGAAGGGCTGTAGTAAATTAGACATTATTTCAGTAATTTCCTCCTCCTACAACTATCCAATGCTTGTCATGTCCATAATTCTGACTTGTGATGATTTCTGCTGGTAAAAGTAACTTTTTACACTGTGGGGACACTGAGCTTAGCCATTCAGGCTGCTTCAACTCATGCATGACATACGAGTGGAAATTTCAAGTGCCTGTTGTATAAAAGCGCTTTATGAGTCATTCTGTGATTCTGTAAACTCTCTTGTTCTTTTCGCTCTGAAATGGAGAGGTGGCTGGCTCATTGGAGAAGAGCTCTTACTGCTCTTTCAGAGAACCTGTGTTGAGTTCCCAGAACTCACACAGCAGCAGCTCACAAACATTTGTCACTCCAGTCCCAAGGGATCCAGTGTCCTCTTTTACTTGCCTTGATCACTGAATGTCCATGGTGCACTTTCATGAATGCTGGCAAAACACTCATATGCATACAATAAAACAAAGACATCTCTAAAAATAGAATTTTAAACAAAGGGACATCATGAGACTGACTCTTCAGCCTTAATACTGAAACAATGATGACCTAGGGCTAGGGCTATAGGTAGAGTACTTTCCTAGTATGTCTACATCCTTAAGTTCAGTACCCAGTGGCACAGAAATAAGCTACAATACTGGCCCAAAGCACCTTAGACTGTAGACAATGTGCAGCTAACACAGGTCAGGGCACGTTAGTCCAGTTGAAGCAGAGGAGAATAACTAGCAATCATGTGGGACATGCAATTGTAAAGTGAGTATTAAACCTCACATAAATATTTACTATTTTTAGAGAGTCACATTTGGTGTTTTCCTAACTGGTACAGAACAGGTACTCAAGGAGCACTTGGTCAGGTTCAGAGGACTGGCATTGAAGGTGGGAAAGCAGTGGAGATGGGAATGCAGGAGCCAACTAGAATCGGATCTGTCCCTAACAGCCTGTTGGCCGGTTTCCACCTGAGAGTCCCAGCCCCCATTGCCTAAGATGCTTTGAAGACAACCTGGTGGTCCTTTCTTCACAGCCACACTTGCTTCTGTAATAGGCTCTGTGGAGCCGGGGAAGGGGACTCAGGAGGGACTGGAGCTGTAAGCCCAGCCCACAGAGAGATCCAAGGGTCCCACGCAGATAGATATGCACGAATGAGATACAAGCACAGTCTCACCTACATGGATTGTTTAGTTGTTGTGACAAACACGCTGACAGAAAACAATATAGGAAGGTGTAATGTGTTGTCTTCCCTCCAGCTGCTTTGGCCCTGCCCAAGTTAGCCACTTGGGCACCCGCTGCTGTCTCAGCCCCCAAATAACACACAGGATGCTTTTTTAATTATGAAGCTGTTGGCCATTGCTTGATTCTTTACTGGCTAGCTGTGACTTAAGTATTTAACCCATAATTGCTAATCTAAGTATTTCCATGTGGTCCATTCTTACCTGAGGCAGGGTCCGGGCATGTGACTTCTTCCCGTCCTTCATTGTGAATCCCTGTGCCTCTCTTTCCCAGAATCCTCCTCGACTCCTAGTCCCACCTATCTTGCTTCCCTATTGGCCAACAGTGCTTTATTTACAAACACACAGAAGGACTTCCCCCATCAGGAAAGAGCTTGCATGGACTACAATTGCAGACTGTGGTGCATTATTTCAGGGATGTCAAGGCAGGAGCTCAGCTCAAGCAGCTAGTCACATCACAACCACAGTTAAAATCAGAGACAGAATATACACGCCCTTGCGTGCTTGCTGTCAGGTAGCGTCGTTACTCTTATATACTCCGTGAAATGGTGCTGTCCACCATGGGATGGGTCTTTCTACAAGAACTAACCATCATGGTAGCCCCCACCCCCAATACATGGCCAGAGGCCAATCAATTCTAGGCAATTCCTCTATTAAGATTCCAGTGTCAGTTGATTCTTGGCTGTGCCGTTGACAGATGAAACTAACCAGCACACGGACCTTCACATAACCAGCCAAGCCTCCCACTCCATTTATGAACTTCACCTTCTGCACACGTTGCTGGGTAGAAAACGAAATGGAAAGGCTTCTAGGGAAAAGTTCAGCTTAGCCATGGTGACCAATTGCAAGGCTGTCACCTGTGAAATTAAAAGCCTATCACGACAAACAAGTAGGGTTCGGATGTTTGTTTTCTACTGCTGAGTGATTTCTGTGATAAAATAACTGCCCTGAAATGCTTTACAGGTTATTAGTTTTCTCAGACTTTGACCAGAAGAGCAGTGTCAGGCCATGATAAAATTCTGGACTGTGTGTGTCAAAAAGCCCAAACTGACTTAGCTGGTAGACCTGCAACTCATGTATTTCTAAGTTCCTAATGTGCAGTGACCCTCATAATAAATGTAAAGGCCATGATAGTAAACAGGGAAGGCAAAAGCCTTAAGTTCCCAACTCACAGTAAGGCAGGAGATAGAGCATCAAGAAGAGACTCTTGGTTCATTAACTGCAGCTATGACACATTCCAAAGGAAAATGTAGAGAGTGATGGAGTCTATAACTTGATCTGGGTGGGTCAGAGAGGTTAAAGAAAGCGCTATTTAGGAACAGGATGGAGAAACAAGGGTGGTATATCAAGAGGCTCTAGGGTGAAAGCAAAACTGAAGATCAGCATGGTTGGATTTTAGAAGACAGAATGGATGCACTGTGGGGTGAAACCAAGACAATACTGGATCTCATGGGACTTCATAGGCGACAGGGATGATTTTGAACTTATTATGAGAGAGCAGCAAAGACTAGCCATTGAAGGTTTTAATTTAAGGAATGACGTAATCAGATTTTCATAGGGACATAACTCTGTATGTGGTATGCATAATGTATTGGAGAGAGACCAAGTGACAGTTGGAATGTTAGCATAAAATCCAGGCAGAACTAGGTGATAGCTGGAGCTGTAGGGAGAGACACCAGAGATGGAGAGTGTTTTGAGTTCTGTGTAGGAAATAATACTGATGTCTCCCAACTTCAACAAAAACCTCAGTACTGTAGGGATCCCCAAGAAATGATGACACCAAATTCTCCACCAGACTAACCAACCAAAATCTCCAAAGAGCAGTCAATTGATAAAATCTAGAAAGGAAGGCATCTTGCACATTTTTTCAGGTACCCAACTATTTACTTCTCCTTTCATCTCATTTGTTTCTCCAAGTCTACTTTGGTGGTATAGATGATTACATTTAAATTTGAGAAATTCGCAACTCAAGGAGGCTAAGTAACAAGTTGGAGGTCCCACAAGCTAGCACCATAGGTCATTGTAATCTTAGCCTGTGGAACAGTAAATACCAGACTCTTTCCACTATCCAGTGACACCTCACTGTTCCTGGAATGACAAGTTCCTTTATTGCTTCAACAACATAGGTGTGTGCAGAAGCACCAAGTGATTGAACTCTAAAAAAAATGTAAATGCAGAATGCTGCCTACCTATTGAAAAATTTGAAAAAAAACCCAAACTTTTTTGATTCAACAGATTAGTACTGTGAATATTCTCATAAAATTACATCATCGTGTTCCTTTATAGCACCCTGAACTTCATAGTGTTGCTACATCATCTTGCACATATTTAGGTTAACTGGATCAAGAGCATAGCTACATCTGTGATTAGAAAATGACAAACAGGAAGAGTGGCTTGGTTAAATGATTTTCTCATGTTCATACAGCTTGACTTGACACAGCGGCTCCCAGAAGCATCCCTTATTGACCATGGTGTATCCTGCTGAACTGACTCTACATTGCCCATGTTCTGCTGCTGGCCAAGGAGATCCGCTATCTCTTCCATGTTCCACGAAGTGAACACTACTGATACGATCGTGACAGGAAGTATGACCTCATTCTGCTGCCCTGCCTCTGGTTAAGAAGGCTGATTTTGAAAGTAAACAAGGGCTGGGAGGCTGACTCTCCCAAGAATGACAAGTTATTCTATTCTGGGCAGCAGCTGAAAGATCGAGAGGCCACCAAGGAAACAAACCGGGCTGTGGATGCCTACATGCAGCGGGGATGTGGGCAGTTTCCACCAGAAGAGAAGACGGGATTCCCTTTGTGAAGTAACTTCTGCACCTGCTGACATTCTGACGGGACTGTCAGCTGGAGAATTGCTGGGTCCAGATTTCTGAACTGCCAGCCACGAAAAGCTTCGTATTTCAGGGATCATCCTGTCATTTATCAGTTGGAAGAAGAGCCTGGGGACTCCCTGTGGAGGAATATGTATGAGCGAGCTATGTTTCAGAACAGATGCATTGCTTTGGTGAACTGGTAGACAGAGTCTGTTTCTTGAAAAGTTCTTGAGCTGCTAACCCAACTTGTTTTCACAGTTACTAATTCTCGACTAACTGGCATTATACTTGCTGTACACAGCTACTCGCTTTTGTAAGATCAATCAGGGAGACCTTGCTTTCTGCTGCAGAATGTCGCGGCTTAAAAGAAAGCTTACTGCTCAAGTAAAACTAGCATACAGTCGTTTGGGCTATTCTTGTTGTGTTGGTCAATGCTGGAGTGATAAGGGACATGTTATTATATTTGCTTGTGTGCAATATCTTATTTTTCAAAGCAGTGATTTTTGTTTTCAAATGTGTGTTTTAATTTAAAAACCTTCAGAGAATTCTAGAAACACCTTCTGTCTTCTTTAAAGGGATCTTATAAACTGGGGTGTATGATTCCTTGAAAGGCTCATACATACATTGTTAAAATAACCTATTGCAAGTCCCAGAATCGATGTGATTGATTTCATGAATTATGCCACAATAGCCAATTATTAGTTATTAAAATATGGACAGAGCTAGTGGATCATAAAAGACTCTCATCTCACAAAACTAACAGGGTAGTGAAATACACACATACACACACACATACTTACACACGCACACACACACACATACACTCATGCACACACGCGCACACACAATTTCCTAGCCACCTGAAGATAGAACTACGTGATAAAAAGTAACTGATCGAAGTCTACACGAATAGTATACTTTGTGTATGCTTACTTTGTAATTGAAAAGCGAATCATGTGCCTTCAAGAATGGAGCTTTGTCATCTGGGTGGCGGCGTGCTATTTAGTAGCTCAGCGTGCGTAGCTTATGCTGTTTAAGAATGTTCACGCTGATAGGCACCACAGAAAGCACTGGCCTTCTCCATGGCCACTTGTCAATGGCTCATGCTGTTGAGTAAAAAGGACAGGCACCAGCCCCCAAGCACTGTCTGCAACGTGATAAGGAAGCCCCACTCCGCTGGCTGCTTCAAATGCACATGACTTTGTTTCAAGGACTCTAGAGCCAGTCACTTGTTCAGATGTCTTCATTAAGTAACGCACACTGTTTAATCTGGATGACAAATCAACCTTTGTAAGTCCCAAAATGGTGCCCTTATTTACAGAATTTTCAGACTTACGCAATGAGACAATGAAAAATAGAATTTGAAGCCTTTGGGGCAGCCACCACCTCGTTGAAGTCCCACAATCTGCTCTGCGCTCTTCAATCCTGCGTCTCTGTACCATTTCAGCAAACAAATCTGACTAGTGCAATTAGTAGATGCCATCTGTTTCGGCATCATTTGTCTATTTTTAATATATAGTCCATCTTTTTTTTTTAAAACATCTTTTGCAGAAAAAAAATCTGTGAAGTTTGAACAAGCGGCCTTCTCAAGATGTACCGAGCCTCTCAACTGACGTCGACACCAGTAGCAAGTAAATGTGAAACTGCTCTGTGCAATTATCTTTGAACGATTAGAGTCCTCTAGGCAATTTCCTTGCTTTGCTTTTGCTGATACTTAGACCATTAGCCATCTGTCAGTAGCTTGTGTTTTTTAAATGCCAGTGTGTGCTTTGGCAACGATTTTGACTTCATTTCTTTCCTTGAGAGAAATGTGGTTTTTTCTTTTAGGATTAAAAAAAATCAGTTTTTAAAATGCCTATGAATAAATGTGAAAGGAGACTTTTTATCGGCTACAATTAAGATGCAAAACTGTCTACCAAAAATTCACAAAGATTAATAGCTACTTGCAAAAAATAAGGGCGTTGTTAAAACGGTAGCGGTTTTGGGTTTCTTCCTTCCTCTTATTTTTCTCCCCAAACCCCCTTTCTAACTCTCTCTCACACCCACAGTTTTCTACTACTAAAAAAATAAAAAGGCTCAAGCTGAAATTCTAAATTACCTTATTTGTTTTAAGTAGTAATTGTCACTAAGGAAACCAAGTTTCACTGAGCCTGGCTGTAAGAAGTCTTCGATACCCTAGCTGCCTGTTAGAGGATTCTGTGACACAGTATACACTATTAACCACCTGCGACCCTGCTCCCAGTGAAGTTCATTGTCATGCCTATGGCTAAGTCAGAGTGCATGACTAAGCCTTCACAGGATTCACACCTTTAAGAAGCATGTGTTTGAAAGAAACGAAAGCAAACTCTTTGGCTGGGGAGAGGGCACTGTGATGTAAATTGTTCACCACACAAGCATGAGGTCCTGAGTTCAGATTCACATAGCCCACATAAAGGGCTTGGTATGATGACAAACTCTGGTAATCCTGCTGCTGAGGAGACTTTCTAGGAGAACTGATAAGAACCAGGTTCGGTGAAAGACCTTGTCTCAAAAAGCTGGAGAGCAACAAAGGAAGACACAGGCAAACACACTTGCACACACAAAATCACAACTTTATACCCTGCCCAAACGGTGCCTTCTGTTTGCTATAGCAGAAGCATCTACAAAGCACTAATAGCAAAACTTTTGGCCAGTGACTAAATTCCACAGATTATGTAGTAAGCTACAGTAGCCAACACATTGAGCAATTGATTTTGATTTTTTACATCTCACAAGGTGTTTTCTCTCTTCCGTTTATAAGCTCATTTTGGTGGTCCCGGTTCATCACACTGCACTAAAGAGACCTGTGGAGTGTGAGAAATGACAAAAGGCAGAAGCTTCTGGATTACTTTATGCTTTCCATAGGGGCCTGGGGACAAGTTGGTGAAGTCCGTGAAACGATTTCTTCACAGCACTCTATGACATTGCTCTTCTTGCTAGGGCTGGTACATCATCTAGGCATACGTGCATATGGGTCACCCCTGTTGCTAATCGTAGTCATACATGTTGGTGAGATGTTGAAAAGCTCCCTCTTGTTTACTTATGCAGATTCCTCCAGGTCACACAGAGGACACTCTGGAGAACTGTCGCCCACCTGCATTTTCCCAAGGTACGTCATGGGGTTTTTCTCTGCCAAATCAAACTTTCTTCCTGCCCATCTTGTTTCGTCTTTCTTTAAAAGGGCCGTGGCTATATATGTTCAGTCCTGTGCAATAACAACTGAAAACTTGTCTACCCTAAGAATGGATTGTCCTTTCTTCTTAGTGTGAGCATGTAGTCAGGTGTAACTATTTCTTTATTGGATGTAAAACTACATTGAATACTTAGATGTGCTTGGATTTTTGGTTTCTTTTCTTAATGTGGTATCGTAGCTGCTTTCCGTTGCCATGATGAAACACCATGACGACAAAGACAAGTTATAGAAGAAATTGTTTATGCAAGCTTACAATTTTAGAGAGTTATAGCCCATGACCATCGTGGAGGGGGGAATGGTGGCAATCAGACAGGTGCTGCAGCAGTAGCTGAGATCTTACATATGATCTAGAAGCATGGGGTGGAAAAAGAAAGAACTAGAACAGGCAAGGACTTTTGCAATCTCAAATCCCAACCCCCAGTGACACACCTCCTCCAACAAGGCCACACCTCCAAGTCCTTCCAAAACAGTTCCACCAACTGGAGACTACACATTCAAAAGTGTGTGACCCCCATGGGGATTCATTCTCACTCAAGCCACTACATTGTGTCCTTCCCATTTCAATGTATCAGGGTCACACCATTGACCAGTGCACAAGCTGGCCACATGTCATGTTCTACTCATAGCGGTTTATTCCACCATCTTGTTCTACCCTGCAGTGGAACCTTTGCTTTCCTTCCTGTGATTTTTCTACCTGAGCTTCTCTGTCCACCCCTTATTCCTTCCATGGGCATTAGTTGAGGTTTTTTTCTCCAGCATTTTCTGAAACACACCTGCAAGATAAAGGAATCTAGCATTGACATTATAATCTGTCCTTCCTGCAAATGTCAGGTCTTCTGACACAGTCCCATAAGTCAGCCAAGGATAGATAGGCAGAAATATGAATCTGTGTTGGGTCAGTTTAACTAGCATATCATCCTAGCTTCCATGAATGCAAGCTGTATAAAATAGCTGAGTCATTTGTCTTTCTGAGTATTAATATTTTTCTTGCTATATGAAGAGAATCATAAATATCTCTACCTTTTAGAGAGATTTGAAAAGGGGAGAACAAATAAAAAATGTGGGCTAGATACATGATATTACATCAGTAAATAATTTGTATTAATTAGTATATTATTAACAACAAACTCATATGTTAATTGTTCATAGGTTTTTAAATTGAAAAAGTTAGTAATGTCCATGGGAAATATAGAAAGAGGAGACAAGACACATCTTATAACCTACCAATGTATGAATAACTACACAATTTTTAAAGGTTATGGTGGATTCTGTCCCTTCACCAACACCAGGACACAAAATTCCTCCAGGACTTGGTTAATCATCTCTCAAGATAAGAAAGGACTTGGTATTTAGACAGTTGAGCAAGTTGCTGGTTGTATGTGTGGTTAGATTGAAAAGAGCCTATTGAAATAGAGTAGGTTCCTGGATTGCCTCCGGGATAATTCAAATGTGAGTCAAGACCTACAATAACTTTGTTAACCAATGAAAAGATTTGGTATCACCAAGAATACTCTCTTATGAGTACGTTGATGTTGCAAGAATATTTCCATTTTATGTACAGTCAAGAAAGAAGAGAAAATTTTAAGGACATTTGAAGGGAGAAATGCCCAAGGATAAAGAAAATTAAGTTGGTAATAATTGTTAAAAACTGAGACTCAGATGACAGCCTGAAATACAGGTCCAGAGCTCTGTAGTTTCCAAGTGCCCACTATGGCAACCTTCACTGAGAAGGGAAATAGTATGGAGGGGGGAAATATAGGTTAGGAGGCAAAAAAAAATAGAAAATTGTAACTCACCTCTCACTCAGAGGCATCAAGATCTTGGGCAATTATTATCTGGTGTTGTTTCTGGTATCTTCCCTTTCTTTTCTACAAAAAGAGGAAACAGTGAGCAAAATTGATGCTGAAATGAAGTGGTCCAGCCCTCCCTGGAGAGAGCTCACTTCTGGCACTTCCAAAGTCCCAGGGCTCTCTACTTGTACAATTTAGTATTTTCATCAGTGATTTAAAGTAAGGACCTGATAACATCAGTAAGCCTATCAATTCGTTTTAATCAGCACATAAGGTATTAGAAACCATTGGGGCTTTTGTTAACGAAGTGCATCTCAGTGATTCTCCTCCTTCTCATCTCCCCAGCCCTTGCTTCTCCTAGACGTCCCCCCTCCCCTAATTTCTTTCGCCCTTCCCTATCCTTTCTAGTTATTAGCTTTTACCTACATCTACCTTTAATGAAATTTTACGAACATTAAAGTGTCATATTGATACAGTTAGTGTCCTAGTTACCTTCAGATGCCAACTCAAAACCACTTTGGAGTCACTTGGGAAGAAGGGACCTCAGCTGAAGAACTGTCTCAGTTACGTTGGCCTACAGGCATGCCTGTGAGGCATTTTCCTACTTACGACTTGATAGAAAAGGGCCCAGTCATCCGTGAGTGGTGCCAGCCCTATGCAGGTGGACCTGGGCTGAGTAAGGAAACTCGGTCAGCAAACTAGAGGAAGGAAACAAGTAGGCAATATTCCTTCAGGTCTCTATTTCGAGCACCTGCCTTGTCATTCCTTGAGGATGGACTGTAACATGTAAGATGAAATGAATTCTTTCCTCCACAGTTAGTCCAAATGTCTTATCACAGCAGCAAAAAGGAAATTAGGACAGTTAGACTTCCCTAACTTCCAAAAGCACAAAGCATGCACACATATAAACAGTAACCATGTGTTTAGTTTAGAGTATGATGGGGAAGTCCTGTGTATATGTCAATAAAGCACTGTTGGCCAATAGGGAAGCAAGATAGGTGGGACTAGGAGTTCAGGAGGACTCTGGGTAGGAGAAACACAGGAAGTCGAGATGTAACCGCCATGGGGTAGGAAGCCCGGACATTTATCCAGTAATAGAAATACTTAGATTAACAATTATAGGGTAAATACTTAAGTCAGAACTAGCCAGCAAGAAGCAAGAAAGGCCAACACCTTCATAATTAATACAGCCTCCTGTGTGTTTATTTGGGACTGATGTGGCTCTGGAACCAGGCTGGTGGGAAGGCTTCTCTTTACAAGAGTACATCTAGAACATCGAGGAAACCATTATTAAGAGCTGTCCATGACATTGTGACATCTCTGAGAAAACTCTGTGAGACTTAAATAATTTTCAGTGTACCGATTTTTGTATAGAGTATATAAAAAACATTCAGGAAAGTAGCATGTAGGGAGAATAAAAACAGTTTGTAGAATTATGATGAAAGCTCAAAGTAAAAGCCTAGCTCTTGTTGAATGCAAATCCTCTTCTCCTTATACTCCTGATATTCTAAGGATAAGTTGGCACAGACATCTGGTGAGGATGATAGGGTTACATATATGGGGAAAAGGCTAGGAATTGGAAACGGGTTCAATGATAAGACAGTTGTTTGGTGATGGGATGTCTTGGGCTTTGTAATTTAAGAAACAATCCTATAATGAGGGGGATGGCAAGCACAGTCTCCTCTGGATGGAGACACCTACATGCCACTTGCTTGTCACAAGAAAGAAGAGCTGCTTTAACCAGAAAACAAAGAAAAGGAGTCCCCAGTGAAGTAGTGAGTGGTTCAAAGTCACCTTCTGCCATAGAGAGATGAGTTATATGAATGGGAAAACTTCCAGTATTGAAAAGAAAGAACTTTTGTAAGTAATGCAAGCTGCCATCATAGAGCTGGTTATCTCTCAAGTGAGAGGTTTAAAAGAAAGGAAATTGTAATTTCTCTATTACAGTGTCAAGAGTGACAATTTGGCACAAGCCACTTAAGCTGTTTTAGTGACGGGAACAATGAGTTTCCAAAATACTGGAAAGGCTGTTTGGCAATATTTCCATAAGAATGGACTAATACCAAGTGTAGGTCCACCCTAAGGTGAAGAAGCAAATTGGCCGGAATATTTTCACCAAAATTCAAAATAGAAAGTACTAAATTTCATTCATGTTTAGATGGTCCTGTGGGTTTTGTATGATTGTAAGTCCTTGGTAGCGACTTAAAGCATCTTCCTGCTTTCCCTTTTTAGCTTTGGTTGTGACTTCCTGGATGGAGAAGTTTCTTTTGAATGCTGCTCCATAGACCCCCTGACAGGATCTCACTATGTCTGCCGCAGAAGCCCCCGACTCCTCACCAATGGCTACTACATTTGGACTGAGGACAGCTTCCTCTGTGACCCAGATGGCCACATCACCCTGAACCCCTCCCACACGAGTGTTATGTACAAGGAGAACTTAGTTAGGTAAGTAGAGAATATTGTGGGAAGGTTCCTCAAGGCCATGGTGCCCACATGGTTGAGCTGCTCGATGCTGCCCAAGAGGATCGTAATAAAAGAGGAATGGGAAGTGGGAGAAGCCAGTGTGGAAACAAGTAAGAGTGAAACACAGCGATACAAATGCTGGCTGGAAGCTGGTGCTGGGGACAGCGGAGGGGAAGAGGATGATGCCCGCTTCACCCAGGGAACAGGCAGCACAGGAAATGGTGATGATGAATTCTAAAAGACCTAGGGTGCCTGTTAAAGCAAAGTAGGAAGTAGAATGTCATGGAGAAATGTACATAGGACTCTGAGAAACCCTGACACGATTAGGAGAATGCAAGTAGCTGGATGGGGATACAACTTAAGGAAGGCGCTTCCTTGGAGAAAGAAGGCTAAAATGATCCTAATTGAGAACCATGAATAACTAGGGTTTAGGACTTGGCAAATGTTTCAGTGGGCCAATTGCCCTGTGTGCAGGCATGATGAGGACATGAACCCAGATCCCCTAGTACCCACACAAAAGCCAGTCAGAACACTGTGCATCAATAACTCCAAAGCGGGGGGGGAGAAGGAAAGACAAGCACAAACCTGAAGCTCATTGGCCAACTGATCTGGTCCAATCAGAGAGCTCGAGGTTCAGTATAGACCTTGTGTCAAACAATGCGATGGATTCCCCAACTCCCTACCACATGCAAATTGAATACATAAAACCCAAGGCTTGCTCTAAGCTACTTTTACACCGAGGGAAAACCACTTCAAAATACGTCTTCTGGGAGCAATGCTAGATTTCCCCTCTGAACAGCAGAACCCAGTCATAGTAAAGGCAATCCATTTCCTCTTTATGTTACTTGGTCCTGGATCAGCCCCTTAGCGTCTCACACTAATGTAATGCGTTCAGCACACTGCTTGGCACATCCCTGACAGGTGCACATGAAATGAACTTTCTGTCACTCCCTGCCCTCAGTCCTGCCCCTTCAAGCCATCCTCTGTGGGCCAGAGTCTTTGGAAGTGAAAACCAAGCCACACCATTCCCCCTCCCTTTCCCAAGACACACGCCTGTGGTTTCTTTACACTAACATTAAGTTCCATGTTCCCCTAGGAAACATGCAGGAATCTTTAACATTTTTCCAGCCTCATATTCTACCCTGACCCAATACAAAACACACTTGAAGAGTCATCACATACAGTTTATGGTCCACTTGTCCCAGAAAACTTCATTGGTCTTCAATTTTCCTGGCCATTCCTGTGCTCTGTGGGCATCTTCTATGTAATTCTTCAGAGTCCTTATCTCCAGCATAATATGATGGTTAAGACCAGCATCCACGAATTCAGACTAGTTAGATTTGCTTTCGAGCTACATCATTTACTGGTTGGATAACCTTAGCGCAATACCATAACCTCTCTGTGTAAAGGGAAACCTTTTCCTTGAGAGAAGCCTTCCCGCCAGCCTGATTCCAGAGCCGCATCAGTCCCAAATAAACACACAGGAGGCTATATTAATTATGAAGCTGTTGGCCTTGCTTGTTTCTTACTGGCTAGCTCTGACTTAAGTATTTATCCCATAATTGTTAATCTAAGTATCTCTCTTACCGGAGAGGTTTCCGGGCTTCCTATTCTATGGCGTTACATCTTGACTCTCCATGTTTCTCCTTCCCAGCGTCCTCCTGGACTCCTAGTCCCACCTATTTAGATTCCTATTGGCCAGCAGTGCTTTATTGACAAATGCACAGGACTTCCCCCAACATCTCCTCCTTTCTTTTTAAACAAAAAGAAAGGTCTTAACTTTAACATAGTCAAATTATATATATAACAGAACAGTTATCAAGTAAGAACACAGTTACAATATTTTGTCAACATTTAGCAAGATTTAAAGAAAATATCATCTATCTCATTCTTGTGAGTCCAAAGTCCTATATGTAGCTTATCTTTTATCATAACTAAGGAAAACTATAATTATAACTATCTGTCTTCAACTCCATCAAAGACCACAGAAGGATAATATATAAACACTAGGATTGACAGAGACATCTTGCTACCTGGACAGTCACCCAAAGTTCTTCTGTAACGTTGGGGCATCCATCTTCAGCCCATAGGCTACAATGTGTCTGGAACACTTCTCAGCAAAGCAGGACATTTCAAACTGTCCATCTGCATCAGCGGTCTGTCAGTCATTTTTCTGTGTCCTTCAGAAAGTCTCGTAGACTCTTCCATGAATCAGGAACCCTGTAAGACTGAGTTCAGCAGTCACTTTCCTGTGGGTCCTGCATGTCCAGATTATACAACAACAGTCAAACAGTCTAGGCAAGAGCAGTTTCTTGCCCAAATGGCTAATCTTGCCATGTTGAAAGCAAACTCCATAATGAGTTTCTTCGATGCCCATCTTCCTCTCAGATGTAATTGGTGCTGCCAGGAGCAGATATTTCTCATTGTCAAGAAAAACCCTAAACCATTTTAAATGCCATTTTCTGAAGGTCTTTGAAAGGTTTGAAGACTATCTATCTGTCTCAAATACATCTCTATCTATCTAGAAAACCTAACTTACCTAATTATAAGTTCTGACTATTATAAGTAACTATCTATAGTCTGTATTTAATTATGCATTACATTTTAAAAGATCAGTACAAGCACAATACTTAATCAAGAGGAGAAATATACACATCACAAAATTGACCTTGAATTTGTCTCAATAAATGAAAAACCATAGCAATACAAAGTACTCATTTCCATACCATAATCCTCTATTTCCTTTTTTTTTGTATATTTTTTGTGGAGATATAATACTGGAACAAGCAAAAACATGTGATAGTTTATCTTGTGTCTGTATTTGATCATGGGTTCTTGTTTTTTTTCTGGAGCAGTTTTTTTTATTTTCCAGTTTAAATTTAGATAAGAAACGAGGTTGCTTCACAAGTCAGTTCCAGGTCCCTCTCCCATTCCCTCCCCTCCTCCCGTGCCCTCCCCTCAACCCCCCCCCGTTACCCCCTCATTCCCCCAGGGAGGGTGAGGCCCTTCATGGGGGTGTCCATAGTCTGTCATTTCATATAGGGCAGGGCCTAGACCCTTCCCCAAGAGTTCAGGGTGAGAGTGCACCTCACATTGTTCTATGGGAGTCCAGAGTCCGTGTGTATACTTGGGATGGGTACTGATCTGCTGCCCAAGGCTCAATAGATTCCCTAGGCCTCCTCACTGACACCCAGATTCAGGGGGTCTTGATCAGTCCCATGCTGGATTCCCAGGCTGATGCCTGGGATTCAAGAGTTAACCTTTGTCTGGTCAGCTGTTTCTGGGGGTTAAACCAGCCCAGTCTTAATCCCTTTGATCATCAGTCCTCCCTCTCCATTACTGGCTTTCTTGAGTTCAGCTCAGTACTTAACCAAGGGAGTCTGCCTCTTCTTCGATCAGCCACTAAATGAAGTTTCTGTTTCCCAGACTCTCTGGCCATAGGATTGTAGGCTGGCACTCCCCAGATCTATGTCTAAATTCCATATATGAGAGAGTACATGCCATGTTTCTCTTTTTGTAACTGGGTTACCTCACTCAGGATGGTTTCTTCTAGTGTCATCCATTTGCCTGCGAATCTCATGATTCCATTATTTTTTTCTGCTGAATAGTACTCCATTGTGCAGATGTACCACATTTTCTCTATCCACTCTTCGGGTGAGGGACATCTAGGTTGCTTCCAAGTTCTGGCTATTACAAATAAAGCTGCTATGAACATAGTGGAACAGACATCTTTGTTGTATGAATGGGCATCTTTTGGATATATGCCTAAGAGTGGAGTTGCTGGGTCTTGTGGTAGGTTTATTCCCATTTTTCTGAGGAATCTCCATACTGATTTCCAAAGTGGCTGAACCAGTTGGCACTCCCACCAGCAATGGAGGAGTGTCTCCCTTCACCACATCCTCTCCAGCATAAATTGTCATTGGTGTTTTTGATTTTAGCCATTCTGATAGGAGTGAGATGGTATCTCAGAGTTGTTTTCATTTGCATTTCCCGGATGGCTAAGGATGTTGAACACTTTCTCAAGTGCCTCTCAGCCATTTTAGACTCCTCTATTGAAAACTCTCTATTTAGTTCTGCAGCCCACTTTTTAATAGGGTCCTTTGGTGTTTTGGAGACTTGCTTCTTGAGTTCTTTGTAAATTTTGGAGATCAACCCTCTGTCAGATGTGGGATTAGTGAATATTTTTTCCCATTCTGTGGGCTGCCTTTTTGTCTTGCTGACTGTGTCCTTTGCCTTACAGAAGCTTCTCAGTTTCAGGAGGTCCCATTTATTAATTGTTGATCTCACTGTCTGTGCTACTGGTGTTATGTTCAGGAAGCTGTCTCCTGTACCAATTCGTTCAAGGGTACCACCCACTTTCTCTTCTAAGAGGTTCAGTGTGGCTGGATTTATGTTGAGGTCTTTGATCCATTTGGACTTAAGTTTTGTGCATGGCGATAAACATGGATCGATCCGCATTCTTCTACATGCCAGTCTCCAATTATGCCAGCACCATTTGTTGAAGATGCTTTCTTTATTCCATTGTATATTTTTAGCTTCTTTGTCAAAGATCAGATGTTCGTACGTGTGTGGGTTAATACCCGGGTTTTCAATTCGATTCCATTGGTCTACCTGTCTATTTTTGTGCCAATACCAAGCTGTTTTCAGGACTATAGCTCTGTAATAGAGCTTGAATCCTCTTTTTCCTTTAAGAAGAGATTGGTTGTGATCATTAACCAATTATAAACAATCCTATTTAAATGAATACAAAGATTTATAAACAAGATGGGAATTAGGACGTCGCTCATTCCAAACTGCCTCATGCTGGAAGGGGGCGCTGTTCATACCATGGGGATCATGACAAAACTCAGAAACCTGTACAAGTCCTTATTTTCAGGGTCTATAAGACTGCATCATCTTAGCTGTTTCAGTTGTTGGAACACTTGGTCCACTGCTTCCGGGGGTCTTGGTTCATCAAACCACAGAAGCCTGGAAGGAGTCCTCAGCTTTTCATTTTCTGTAGTAACATAAGCAAAAACTCCTTTCCCAAGTAACATATCCTTATACTTAAATTTTGAAGTCAAGGCATTTTCAAAAGCTATAAGTTGAATTAATTCAGCAGCATTTATAATCAAGTGTACTTTAGCAGTTTTCCTTCCTGAGCAATCAAAAAACTGAAATACACAATAGCGTACAGTATCCAGACTTTCTGTGTATTTTCCACCTTTACGTGGCTTATTTATTTATCTATTATTATTACTCTATTTCTTTTACTTTGATTTATTTATTTTTCTCTGAGACAGGGTTTCTCTTTGGAAATCTGCCTGCCTCTGCCTCTGCAGCAAATCCTACCGGCATGCGCCACAACAGCCGGCTTCTCTACTTATTTAACACTTTGCCATTTCATTTTGTCTCTCAATCTTACATATATTTTTAAACACACTGTAAACCTTTAGAAGTTTTTCTTCATCCAAGTATGACTTTACTGTAAATTTTTATGTTTTTCTGGCCACGTGTCGTATCTGTTAAAACCGTGGCTGTTTAAACTGCCGTTTTTCCAAGATGGCGGGCGTAGGCGTGACTCCAGCTGCCGGCTTGGAGATGTGGGTCACTGCCACTTCCAGTCGTGCTAACACACTTTTTAATTGTTAGCAGAGCCTCTTAAAAGAAGCTTGTTAGCATTTTTTTTTGTAATGCTGAGTCAGGAAGCTTAACTTAAGCCAGCTGCAAGTCTCTGCTTGCCACTAACAAAACAGAGCCCACCTGAGAAAATGCTGCTACCAAAAATCTGTGCTTCTCTCCGTTCTTCTGTTTCTACATGGAAATTCATCATCCCACTCCTGATTACCATTTGTAAAGAGAAGCCTTTTCCTTTGAGAGAAGCCTTCCCGCCAGCCTGATTCCAGAGCCACATCAGTCCCAAATAAACACACAGGAGGCTATATTAATTATGAAGCTGTTGGCCTTGCTTGTTTCTTACTGGCTAGCTCTGACTTAAGTATTTATCCCATAATTGTTAATCTAAGTATCTCTCTTACCGGAGAGGTTTCCGGGCTTCCTACTCCATGGCGTTACATCTTGACTCTCCATGTTTCTCCTTCCCAGCGTCCTCCTGGACTCCTAGTCCCACCTATTTAGATTCCTATTGGCCAGCAGTGCTTTATTGACAAATGCACAGGACTTCCCCCAACATCTCTGGGTCTTTTTTTTCCAAACATCAGAAATGGGATCATGATCGTCCCTATCTCTTATGGTTGCTGTAGGCATTACGTGGGTTTGTGTCTGTAGAATGCTGAGAAAACTGCCTGACACCAAGTGAGCTCATTCCAAGCACCAGCAGTGTTTGCATTCCTTGCCAGTTTCCTAGAATATAGACCACTGCCACCGTGTATACATGGTTTAGTCTTCACCTCAGTATCATTGACATGTTGGCATACACCCAAGGACCGGTTCATGTAATAAACACAGCTCTCACCTCAAAAGGGACAGTTTACTGCAGAGTCAAATATGAGTGACCATGTTACTGGAACACAGGCTGAGGTACCCAACATTTTATATTCTGGAACCACAATTACTTATATTTGGCTTCAGAATAAATTATCTCTTAACCCCTTTGAGGAGAGAGTTGTTATTTTACATCAACAGCTTTAATGCCCAAACTTGGGACCCCCCAAGTGGGTCTACTTTTCTCCAGAGCTGTCACCTGAATCAGAGCTAGTAACCAGTTTGTGCCCAGTGGTCTAGAGCTGCCTCCTCCGGTGATGTTTGGGAGTTGTTTCTGGGGTTCAGATGTCCCTTGGTTTGGTTAGTGGTCCATTCATTTATTCTCAGTATTTCAGTGTCCTTTCAGTTATAGAGCTTAACTGTCAGACAACAACAACAACAACAACAAACTTAACCCTCATCTCAAAGGGGATAAGAGATCACTTACAGGTGAGTGATCATGGTTCAGAAACACAGATTTAGGTTTCCTCAAGTTCCACATTTCAACGTGGTAACAGTTTTGTGAAGCTCTTATAGTAACAGAAAATAATAAATGTCCTCGTTAGAGTTACTGCTGTTGTGACCAAAAGCTACTTGGCGAGGAAAGGGTTTATTTCATTCATACTTCATCATCAACCTGAGCAGTAAAGGCAGGAGCCCAAGAGAAGAAACTGATGCAGAGGCCATGGTAGGGAGCTGCTTACTAACTTGCTCCTCCTGGCTTGCTCAGCCTGCTTTCTTATAGAATCAGGAACCACTATCCTATGGGCTGGGCCTTCTCAAATCAGTAACTAAAATAATTCCCTTTGGGCTCGATTATAGCCAAATCTTGGGAAGACATTTTCTCAGTTGACATTTCTTCCTTTCCAATGACTCCAGCTTATGTTAGGTTGACATAAAACGAGCCAGCATAAAAAGTCAAGACAGTTTTTAGATGCGTTGGTGGGAATGTCAGGTAGGTAGGTTACAACAAAGTGAGGAACTCTACTATAGGTCTCAGACTCTATCATGTGACAATCTTAGCTTTTTGGTCAATGGGGTCTGTGATCTCTTAAATTAACAAATCCCAATGACTTTCCAGTGATAGTCACAAACAGATATGGCCAATAAACATGTATAAATGTTGTTAAAGGGAGTCTAAGATAATTAGTGTTTGTGCTTTGGCTCTCAGGCATTCCAGCGCTTTCCACAATGGCTATCTGGTATAAGGTGTTTACTTTGGGGAAACTTCAATTCACAATCCCAGAACACAGTAGACCTCTAAGAAACTTTTGAGGAATTAATTGAGTGTATGGGTTCAGGTTGTAGACCTACTCTGCGCATCAAGTAACTTCCAATGGATTGTTTCCATCCCAAGGTAACTGCTACTCACTGCTTTCATTTCTTCCCAGAATATTTAGAAAGAAAAAGAGAACCCCCCGTTCTCTTTCTTCTCTCTTGGACCTCAGAGCCTCCAAGTCTTGGCTGCATGGAAGCATCTTTGGAGATGCTGACTCACCTCCAAGTGAGGACATTTGGCTGGAGGGCATCAGGAGCCTGGGTATGTACACTTGGATGGAAATAGTGATCACGTTTTGTGAGATATCATTTATGGATGGCAGTCATATAGTCCTGGCCCAAGGCACAGTCCAGAGATGACTATCATTTTGACACAGAGGGTGAAGCCAGAATTTAAAATTTCATTGACATGTTTCCACACAACCTGTCGTTGAAATACAAAGGTCATATCATGCAAAAAGTTAGAGTGTAACTATCTACCATCAGAGTGCTGATAATAATGGGAAGGTGTTGGCCCATTTCCAGTGTGGCTTTTCATGTACGGAATAGACGTGGAAAGGTGATAATGGAGGCAAGTTTAGAAGACCTGTACTGGAGACAGTGACCCCAAGTCCGGATTCATATCTCAGTTTTGACATACTGGGATGGTGATGCTGTTAAATCTCAACTGCTTTAATTTAAAAAAGTGTGCGTATTCTGTTGAAATAGATTATACATATGTATATAAATTGCATATCTGATATATGCTTATGTATCCATGCATCAAAATGTAGATATATAAATGCAATGCTGTGAACTCAAAGCCCATTGTCTTGTTACTCACACATCAGATCCTTGACGACATGCTCTGTGGACACCACTGTGCTAAGCACCTGTTCCGAGCTAAATAAGACATGACCCTAATCTTGGGAAATTCCTTTCTCAGATAAGGAGGGAAGTAAGTTTTCAGATAGTTATAGTATAATGCCTTAAGTGCCATCACAGGATTAGGACCATGGACGGAATGCTGGAGAGAAAGCCAACACAAGCCAGAAAGAGAATCTGAGCTCAGCCTAAATGAGGACGGAAGGGTTTGAAGTCTAGTAACATCCAAGAGGGCCTTAAGAGATGAGCGGCTCACTAGGCAGGTGAGACATTTCTGCCCGTTCTATCCCACTTTCCAAATCGCTGGAATTAACGGGCTTTCCAAGCATTGTGGCTAGTCGTTCCTTCCTAACACGTGTAGATTCCGCTGGCTTTCTTCCGGTTCTCAGTCAGAACTGGGTTAATTTTCTAGCAAAAAACCAAAAACAAAAAACAAACAAACAAACAAAAAACAAAACCACACACAAAATAAGAATGAATAGTCCAAACCAAAAAAAAAAGTTAAATACGACAGCAGAGCTCTGAACTCACAGAGAGCCCCGCCTGGGTATAGACCCTTCTACAATTGCTCTTATCTCAACTCCATGACTCTGGTCCTGTCTTCATCCCCTTACATGCATCTCACTCTGACCACTCAGGTGCATCTTTTCTGGCAAGAAATGACCATCTTGATGAGTGGTCTCAGGTGGAGAGCTGTGAGAAGTGGTTCCTTTAATAGGAAGTTGTTTTTTGCTTTTCTTTTTAACAGAGGCTAAAACTGCTAAGGCCCTGAATATAGTATCAAACAAAGCCAACAAAGCTGCTTATTCTTACTCATTGTATTTTTTGTGCAGAATAGGAAAAATATACTATTTATCATGTTAACAACTGTGACTTTTACACAGAGAGAAATTAAGGGGAAAGTGATGAGAATGCAAATTTGTGCCATCCATCCAGTTTTCCCTGGTTTTGTTACCAATAGGAGAAAACTGGATGAATGGTACAAATTTCCAATTGGCATGATATGAAGATATATGTATATGTATATGTATGTGTATGTGTCTGTGTCTGTGTATGTATATGTGTCTGTGTCTGTGTATGTGTATGTATATAGTGTGTGTGAACGTGGGTATAATGCTAGATTAATTTTAAAAGATTAAGAACTTGTCAAATGAAAAATCAATCACATGATACGAACAAATGATTAATGAAACCAAGTGCATTCTTGCTACAATTACAAGGAAATCTAAGCAGGACAGCGGCAGGAGGCAGGACGTGGAGGTTGGATTAGGAAAGACAGATGGTGGAGGGCTGAAGAACCTTCTGTGCCTCGTTGAGGAGACAGTTTATCTAATGACTCAAGGGTATTTTGAAGGAGCCTACACAGGATGAACACACATCAGATTTGGACTTCCAATGTCAGTTCTCCAGTAGTATTCAAGGGGAGACTGGATAGAGCATAGCTGGTGTGGCCTCAGAAGCAAAGGAAATGGCAAGCCTTCCAAGGAAGTACAGAGTGACTAGAAGGAAAAGAGTTAAGGGATTCTTTTTTAACATAGAGCTGACAGGTTTGTGATAGATTGAATGGGGCTGTGAGGAAGTGGGAGAAATTTAACAAATAGATGTGTTTCGTTTGGGGGACTGTGTAAAGAGAGCTGCCAGTGCCAGCTCTGAAAGACAGGAGAGCAGACTGACGAGAGGACCTGTCACACGGACCAAGTGTCCCTGCTTTCAAGTCCTGGAAGCACCTCCTCCCACACGTGCATTCTTGGGCACACTGAACAACTTTTCTGGTCTTCTACTTCTTTATCAATGCAACGAGCAAGATAATACCTCGTGGGATTTCCGGGGAGATGAGACGCACTAACTCATAAAAAGTTTCCAATGAGCGTGGGGTCCATGCTTTCCTCAGCACATGCCTACAGATACTTATTTTTACTGATTTTAGTGATGCGTAGATGTTCCCTCCAAGGCCAGGGGGCTAAGGCCCACCAGGAGCTGGAGTTACAAATGGTTGTGAGCTGCCATGTGGGTTCCGTGAACAGAACTAGGCCCATGTGGAAAAGCATCAAATACTTTTAGTTGCTGAGCCGTCCCTCAAGCCCTCTGTTTGCCAATGGACATGCTCAGCATTTAGCAGATTTACCTGTGTGTGTGTGTGTGTGTGTGTGAGTGTGTGTGTGTGTGCGCGCGTTTACTTTCTCAGTGAGACTACACACAATTAAGATTGAGTTTGATCTGAAACAAAAGCCTAAAAGAGACAACTCCAAGAAAACCGTAAGTGACCAAGAGGAACCATTTTCTATAAGATGTCCAAGAACACAAAGCTGACTCCTGGTAACCATAGCTGGTGTCTCGGCTATGTTTCTTGTTTTGTGTCAAAGTTCTGAAGCAGTTTAGGGGAGACAAGGTTTACTTTGGCTCACAGTTTTAAGGTATACAGTCCAGCACAGTGGGGGAAGATCTGATGGCCAGAGAGTGGGGCAGCTTGTCTAGTTGTGTCTATGCATCTGGGAGTCAACTGGAAATGCAGTTGTACTATAAAACCCCAATGTCCACTTTGAGTGACCTGGTACTTCCTTTAACAAAGGTCCACCTCCTATGAACCCCACAATCTTTCCAAACCAGGTGGGGACGGACACATGAGCTCAAGGAAGACATTTTGCACTTAAACTACAACAGTGGGGAATGGCTTTTGCAAAGGCCATTTTCACGTATTTGGAAGTTGGCATCTGGCATCCATAGTTGGTTCTTCCAAATGTGCCCAAACAACTTGAGAGCAGTTGGACCACAGTAGTGCTGCCCATGCATGAGGTATCTTATTAAGATTCTCGTGGTTGTTAAATATCTTCTAAATATAACAAATCAAACCACCCCTTCCAAAAATCAGTAATTAGCCAACCTGGGTGCACACGAGACTTGGAAAGCACTCATTTCTGCTGCCAGCTGTAATCAGATTTCCTCAGACGTCTAGTTTTCCGGTTTTACCCAAGGCTTCTTGATTTATCAGCGATTTATTTTTCTCTGAAATACAGCCTAGTTACAAGACTCCAGAAGAATTCAAAATGAAATGTTTTGCTATTTTCTCTCTGTGCGGTGGCTGCAATCATACACTATTTCCCATGATTTTCTCATACTTCGTTTTTGAGACGAGAGAATATTTCGCCTACTTAGTTTGTCCTCCCCTAACCCCTTCTCCAGCTGCACAGAGATACCTTCCCTCATTAGTCACAATTCATTCTTTCCCCGGGGCATTTATTTTGAAGTTCCCAAGAACCCCAACCCCACCCCGAACTGTAACATGGAATGTGTTCCTGGAGCTGTGAGTCACCCTCAAAGAGAACAGAGAATTCACACGGGGAGGAGTGAATGGGACAGGATCTTCCTTTAGCCCTGTCTGTTGGCCCTGGGGCACACAAGCCACAAGCTTGAGGTCTGAGCTTTTCTCTGCGACTGATGCCACTTCCATATGTGTCCCCAGCGGTCACATCTGTTTGTGGATTTGTGCCTCTCCCGAAAGCAATAGAATGCTTATTTTATGTGCAAAGGTGTGGAGAGCATGAGCGGAATGCACACAATACACAGGATTGTCCTTTTTAAACAAGCACAATCTGTCTTGAATTTGAAGAAAATAGGTGAAACAGCACAAAACAAATACTTTCAAGTATAGTGCAATTAAAGATATTTGCTGAAATATTTGGTGTGTTAAGAGCCATTAATTTATTATTAAACTTATCAAAAGATAAAAAATCAGTCAAAGAATAGTGTGGGTTGGGGGAAACGCATATCTCTTTAGAGACAGATATCTCCTTGGACATTTTGAGTGCTAAGAATTTTTGTGGTTCCTGTTTAATGCCATCATTTAAAAGTTCCATGTAGGAATTCCAACATGCCACCTAAGAGCTGTCTCTTTTATTTAATTCCAGTTATCTTCACTTATTTTCCAAGCTAGACCAGGCAGTCCTGAGAAACAGCATAGGGATATTTTTCCTGTTGCCGCAGAGGCTGCCTGGTGTCCTGGGATCACAGAATGGCCTTTCAGGAATGTGTGGCCAGCCAGGAATGTCTGGGGTCCCTTCTCAGTTCCGCATTGTTTCTCTCTCTCTCTCTCTCTCTCTCTCTCTCTCTCTCTCTCTCTCTCTCTCTCTCTCTCTCTCTAAACAGCTTTACTGAGGTATAATTGATACACAAAGGAATGTACACATTTAACATGTACAACGTAATGAGTTAGCTATATGCAAACACCTGTTATTTATCACCACAATTAACATAAAGGACACACCAAACAGATCCCCAAGGCACCTTATATCCTTCTGTGTGTTGTGCACAGGTGTAGGTATGTTTTAAGAACATGTAACATAATTTATCTTCTTAAAAATAGCATATTGGCAAATACAGGCAGCAGACTGTGCCATGCGTATCCTCGAAACGCATCCATTTAATGTAACGGGGATGCTATTCTCCCAAGTTTCTCCACCTCCTAACTCTCGAAGCCATGGTAACCATTACTGACTTCTCTGCTTCTGTAAGTTTACCTCTGTAGATCCTTACAGAAGTGGACTCGGTATCCGCCCCTTTGCCGGGATCATTTATTTCAGCCCACTGCCACGCAGGTCTTTCCATGTTATTGCAAGCGGCAGGACTGCCTTCCTCACTCGAGGCAGAACAACATCCCATTGCACGCATATGCCGCGTTTTGTTTATGCATCCGTCTGTGGACAGACACTCTAGTTGCATCTCTGTTTTGGCTAGTGGGAGCACCCTTGAGGACAAGCCCTGCCGTATGGTCCTTCCCGGTTATCTGCTGCTTTCTTTATCTATGGCAACCAGCAAAGATGGTCTGATATACAGTGGTATTCAATAAATGCCAAATGAGTGAATGGGAAAACTAGAAGGAGGAGTTGCCTTCGCTATGAAGTTTAATGATGTGAAGATCACACGTTCATGTGTACACTTCAAATACATCCATTCACGACCTAACATCACTTGGAGACTGAGGGTGAGACAACCCGTCTCTTTGCCTACGTGGATATTAGGATACCATCCACGATTTCTTTCAGGGCCACCCGAATTTCATTATATATGTATCAAACTGTTATTTTACCTAGATGAAATGCCTCACGGGTATGCATCTGGTGACGCTCTTGCTAAGGGACAGTCCGTCGCTCCCATAGTCTGTAAACGGACCCCTTACTCTTCAGTTGGGAAATCAACGGCTTCCAGGACCTACCCTCCGTGTTGTTGTAAGACTATATTTTCCTGAACTCTTCTGGGTCACTTTGTTGTCACTGCTAAAGTTGTTGTCCTTTAGCAGACTCTCATCTTTCTTATTTGTGTTGTGAAGATAAAAGCCTTTTACACCTCCAAGGATTGGGACAGATTAAATGCCATCTCATCCAGGAAGGCTTCCCCGCCCCTGCTCCACTAGTACAGGGTTGCCATTGCTCTGACTATTGGGAACTGTACACAGGGTAGCCCCATTGGCTAATGTGTGCTGTCAACTTGACACAACCAAGTCACCTGGGAAGAGGGGATCTCAGCAAGGCATTGTCTAGGTCAGGTTAGCCTGTGGGCGTGGTCTATGGGCAATTATCATTTTGCTTCTTAATTGATTTGTGTCCCACTGTGAGATGCACCGCTCCCTAGTCTGGGACCCCTGGACAGTGTAAGAATGAAAGAAGCTAGCTGAGCAGAAGCAAGTAGTCGGTATGGGTGGAGCTATTTCTCTTACATCTTGACTAGGGGGGAGGGACTATGACTAGCTGCTTGAGTTGTTGCCTCAACTTACTCAAAATGATGGCCTGTAACCTGGAACTAAGACAAATAAGGGCCTTTTCTTCCCCTAAAAGGTTTGGTCAGGGTGTTTCATCATAACAACAAACATAAAACTACAACAGCATCATTGGATATATGTATGTGTACACACATGCTCATGTAGGCACACACACACACACACACACAGAGAGACAGAGAGAGAGAGAGAGGAGAGAGAGAGAGAGAGAGAGAGAGAGAGAGAGAGAGAGAGAGAGAGAGAGAGAGAGAGAGAGAGAGAGAGAGAGAGAGAGAGAGAGTAACTCTTTTGCTTTCCCAGGAAGTGATTTGGACTACTCTCTGAGTGATGGCTGGGATTCTCAGAAGTCAAACACAGACACCCCAGAAACCCCCTCTCCTGGCCACATCCTGTCTCAGCAGCATCTCAGAGAAAGCTCCAGGAATAACTCTCTTCAGCCTCCGTTGAAAGCATCAGGACACTTCCAAAAGAACCCTTTGGTGCATTCAAGTGAGTCATTTTTAATCTTTGCCACACCCAAAGAAATCTTCTTTCTTGCCACCTAAGAATGATGTCACCATGACTAACGTGCACTTAGGAACTGGCATCAGCCTGCTTGAGGAAGGGGAGACCCAGGTTCCTGCTGATGTTCAGATAACACAGTGGAGACTCCTGCCTCTGAGCATAGCCCAGGAATCATCAGCTGCTCTGAGTTTATAGCGCCCTCTTTTTCCAGGGCCTTGATGCCTGATAAGCGTTAGGTTTGGATACAGCTGAGAAGAACCACAGGTCTCAACTACTTGCTTCTTGATTTTTGGTTGTGTGCTTGACGTACTCCAAAAGCAGGGGAAAATTTGAGGAAATGAGAGGGAAGATGATACTCGGCTCTTGGTATATCCTGCACAAGTAGAGGAAGAAGCTCACCCGTGTGCTGCTGACTCCAGTTTGTCAGTAGCATATTAATAACATTTTCATGCAGTCTCACATCCAGGGAAGAACAGCTGAGCTGGCCCTGTTGAGCCTGCAAAGACTCCCCCTACCCATTATTTACAGCTCTATCAGCCACCATAGCGGAGAATGTACTAGGCTCTACAAGCAGGTTGCCAAACTCTAAAATTTAACCTCACATCTGTACAGAGAGATAATCCTACTTCTTACTTTGCCGTGATGAAAATGACCCAAAGGATTTAATGTGTCGTGTCCACATGAGCACTCAACAGATGTGAGGTTATCACTGCAGGTGGCAGAGACTGAATGGAAATGACCCTGCCTTTATTGGCCTTTATAAACCATGAAAGAAGAGTGTCCCACTGAGCATCCCTCCAAAGACTCATGCATGTGCTCCCATGCATTACATTCCCCCTGCAGCTGTTCAGGAAATGCTAAAGGGTCTTTAAGCTCCCTGTGCTGGAGTTTCAATAACAGAAAAGCTAGCTTTGACTTCATAGTTGAGTGCCCGCCTATCAATACCTACTGAGACTCAGCAGCCACCTCTTCCAGGGAGCCTAGCCTCCCCAGCTCTGCTTTCCAGAATTCCTCTTTTATCCCCATGAGCCGCACTACTCTTGCATGCTTGCCTGTGTTTCTCATCATTCTCTGAACCTAACTAAGGTCATGGTTGTCCCTGGGTCCCAGACTGACCATCCAGTGCCTGAGCAGAACAATTTCTCCCTGATGGTGGTGAAACGATTCATAAGTGTTTCGGTTTATTGTGCACATAAGAATACTAGCACTGTACAGATGAAGTAAGCCTTCATATTGACTGCAGCCACCACAAATGCATGTCCTTGCTGTATCTGGGGTGTCTGCTGTACTGCTGTGCCTAGATGACCCCCTACTCTTCATCAAGGCCCCCTCTAAATGAGACTACCCCAATGGGCCTTCTCTGTCTCTTCCTGAGTAGTGGATGGAGTAAATTATTCTATGACTCAAGGGCACTCTGCATGTGTAACTTCCCTGGAAATATTTATGTTCCTTTATCACTGGTCTCTGAATCGGTTGGCTATATCCATCATTTCTGTTCTCCATGTGTAGGAACTGAGTGAAAATTCTGTTCCAGGTGGTACAGAAGATGCTAAGCACATGGGTCTTTTGCCATTGTTTGTATTAATCAGGGCTCTTGAGTTCCAGGGATAGCATTTATGAACTTATACAGATGATAATTCCCAAGCAGAGACTGTATTTCTAGTCTTTGCCTCTCTGCCATGTCTTCCATGTTGGTGTTGTTCCTCAGAGCCTATCTTCCCAAGGTGGTGCCTTGTGACTCTGCAGACACACACCTTTCAGATTTCCAGTCTGTCAGAGGAGACTTTTCTCATTTATAGCTATGATGTGAGACCCAGAATTGTTACATCCATTCTGGGAGGATTCCATTTTCAGGGCAAGACAGTCACTTTGTTGGCAATTATGTGAGGTTCCAATGGAACCAGATGCTGGTATGGAAAATAGAAGAAGCCAGCCACTCCACCTTCTAGCAGAAAACGTGATTCCCCACCGAGAGTATGGTATTGCCTTCAAAACTGGAAAAATAGATGACAGGTAGGGGCAGTAAATAGAAGGTGGTAACGTGTGAGGGTAGGGAGAGCATCAGAAGGTTGGGAGAAGTTGGAGGAATCAAGGTCAGATTCCTGATGAGAAAAGTCAAACGGGTACCAAGTCAATGGATGCTGAAAGAGCAATGAACAAATGGTCCAAAGTCACACAACTCATCTCCTTGTCAAATTCAAAGACACACCCACTTTCCCTTAAGCATGCACAGCCAGTGAGCGATCGTTGCTGTGTCTTAAACTGGATTTATTTTGCTAATTGCATGTGAAATCTGGAGAGATGGAGAATTCAAACACACTTTAGATGGATGGTTGGCATTCCACTGAACTCCCAATAATTTATTTAATTCACAGTATACATAAATCCTCCACACTCTGAATGACATAATTTACTACTGCTCCAGTTTGAATTGCAAGACTTCAGGATTCCACCCGACTCAGTGAGATTTATAGCTAACTCTACCCCCATATCAAGCATTAAATCACAAAAATAAAAACACAGTAAAAAGTCTACTGAGTTTTGAATAACTGTTTGTATAAACTGTTTGTACAAACAACTGTCATAAAATTAAACTCCTGAGGCACTTGGGAGAAATTAAGTGGAAATCTATTCATAGATTTTGTTTTAAGTCCTCATGTGGTATTCTTTAGAACTGCCCCGATTTCTTACAGTCATTAATCTAAGACTCAAGGTCATGATTGTCATGATTCCTGCGGTTATAACTGCTTGAAGCTTGATATCTCTTTCTGCCACTATTTAACAGTGTTGAAATAGCTCAACAATGGCAAAGTTTTGAAAAGAAAATTTCACAATACATATTTTTTGTTTTCTTGGTCTTTAGAGAGTTCCAGTATGCAGAGTTGCAATTGTCTTTCCATGCCCCATTTCAGACAAAACATTATGTCCTGTCTAGATGTGGTTTTAAATCTTGGTGCTGGCACCTCAGGGTTGTATGATCTTAGACTATTGCATCATGTCTCTCAGACTTCGTTTATTCATCCTTAAAACCCAGATAATGCTCCCTGCTTTGCACGGTTTGGGGGCTGATGAAATAAGCTAATACATGAGAAGTGTTTGTGAATAATAAAGCATTCTGTAAATTGTAGGTGTTTTTATTAAGGTTATGGTTGCACAATCATAACTATCATCACATGTTTAGAGCTCTGACTTTATCAGAAAATCTAAATAGGCTTCCTCCAATATCAAAGCAAACAGCAAGGCTGAAGCATTTTGAGTCGTGTAGTCTCTTGTTGTGCTGTCAGAGAGGAAATTCTATCCATTGACTGGAATTTTCTAGTCAATGGACCTATATAATGTGACATGATTTTTAAGAAAGGGTCTTCAACATGTATACATATGTGTACATGCCTGCATGTACACCATGTCTGTGCAGAAGCCCACGGAGGCCAGGAGAGGGCGTCAGATCCTCTGGAACTAGAGATGTGATGGAACTGCTGCCATATGTGTACTAGGCATGTTCTCAGCCACTGACCCGCTCCAGCTCCACTTGACATGATTCCGTCTTTTTATTGACGATCAATTGTTTAAACCGACATACATTCGAAAACTATGAAGCGGGGTTATCTGCTTGAGGACAGGAATTTTGTTCTCCGAGATTATTAATCAGCAACCCATGGTCCATTTCTTCTTCTTCCTGCAGAAGCCGGTCTGATGCTCAAGGCCTCCTTTCAGGCCATCCTGCTGGCGGTGTGCTTAATCATTTCTGCATGTGCAAGGTAATTCTGACTTTGCTTTCTTGCCATAACATCTCATAATCCATGGGGAGCTGTAATTGATAGATGATGTCCTTCCATCCTTCCCCAAACCATGTTAGGTAACTCTGTAGCTAAGACTTGTTCATTTATCTGCCATCATAGTGCATGTATTCTTCACATACCTCCTCTGTCCTCTACAGTACACGCAGAAGCCAATGTACCTTATTTAGAAATGGATTTTCCTGTATGCTATCTTCTGTTTAAGCATCGACAGCAAGGATACTTACGATCTAGGTTCCCATTCAAGTGCATTCTGGAACAGTTGAAGTCCCCACTTCTACTTTTCCTGTTGTAGTTTGTATCCTAGCATAGAGAAGAATAAAAAAGATACTCCCTAAAGGATGACACTACTTCTGCGGAACTAGCGGAGTGCTGCATGGGACACATAGGCAGCCATGGGTGACTTCAGAGGGGAAGAGGTGATCTTTACAAAGGGGAAAACAAAGAGAATTATATCAAGTAGTTTGAAACAGCAACCTTTGGCCACAGTGGTTGACAATAAGAATGATGTATTGAGGTTGGAGGGAAGTTGCTGGGCGAATGTCCCTGTAGAAGTACTCTGTATATAAGGCTGTATTTGGCTGGCAGAAACTTTTGGTCCTGGGTAGAGTCATTTGGAATAGTTACTGTCAGACAAACATGTGTAAAGACAACTTTGTTCATACTAGATTTATTGTTTTGTTGTTGAGACTAATACAAGGGACTCTATCTTACTCTGTCAACGCTCACACAACTGTGGGTTCCAGAGAATCCAGCTTAGCATTGTAAGATACACAGCACTCAGTCCTGACTAGAGGTGTGTCAACATCTCCCTCCTATTCTCTGTGTCCCTGCCATGCTTTCTTGCTCTGCCTCTTCCCAAGATTCTAGGAAAGTGATCAAGTCCCTCCGGCTCTAAGCCTATTCATGCCTCAGAGTCTTTGTCCCCTCTGCCTGGTACAAATCTATTTCACCTAATCTAATTAACAAGCAACCTTGTAACGTGTAGTCTTCCCGCCAGCTGCCTGAGTCCCGTTGCCACTTTAGCCCCCAAGTAACACACGAGGCACTATATTAATTATGAAGCTATTGGCCGTGTGCTTGGTTTCTCATCAGCTAACTCTGACTTAATTATTAGCCCATAACTGCTAGTCTGAGTATTTCCATGTGGTCTTCTCTTACCGAAGAGAAGGTCCAGGCCTTTTATTCCTCTGGCATCCTATATCTTGGCTGAATGTGCCTCTGTTTCCCAGAATCCTCCTTGACTCCTAGTCTCACCTATCTTGCTTCCCTATTGGCCAACAATGTTGTATTAACATATAAACAGAAGGACTTCCCCCATCACAACCTCAATTCTTTCTGGAGTTGCTTCCCATTCTCTATTAGAGAGACCTTACCTGCAAGTATGTGCTGTAGACAGTGTTTTCCTTTCCTTTACTTCAGAACTCTTTCTACTCCTGACCCATTGCTATAGGTCCAGTTATCCAAATTATCAGTCAGGAGCCCGCCTCACAAGAATGTGAGAAACTTGCATGCTTCAGCAAGAAAAAGTGTTTTCAGTACAAGCATGATGTCTTCAGTTCAACACCTAGAACCCATATTGGAGAGAGAAAAACAAGTCTTGAGTTGTGTCCCGTCACACACATGCACCACAAAAACGTGCACATGTGCACCAAACAAATGAGTTCACACAAAAAATAGATAAAATTTAAAGTATTTCTTAAAGAATATGAGCAATCCAGAAGGAACAGCAGTGCATGGTGCTCACTTCTGTATCATCAACGACGAGAGTTCATGGACATTTTTGACTGAGTGGATGAAACAAAAATGAACAGTAGGGTCCTAAAAGCTTCACAGTCTTTGGACTCAGGTGGGAAAATGCTACACACTCTCCAACTCCTGCATCCTGAGGGTCACATGGGTCCATATTGCATGGGAAGGCTGGTTTTTATAATACCAGCTCCTAGATCCTCTCACTTGAGATATGAATTTAGGCCTAGTGAAAGTTGGTATTTTAAAACAAGCCTCCCACTTAATTATGAGCTTGAAGAAATGCTTTGGATCACAATGGAACCAAAGGAACAAAGGGAGGAGGCTCTCTGGCTAAAAATAGATTGTAACATTCTTCATTACATACCCCAAGAAGGAAACGGATAATGTGCATTAGTACAATAACGGCTGGGAGAAATTATGCAGAGTGGTCATAGTCAGCATTCTTCTAACGTCGTGTGTTTCAAACTTCCAAGTTGGTCAAGAAACACCATCTCATATTTGACAGGGCTCTCAGTGAAACATTCCTCATGGGTTAACCTATGCAGATGCCTTCATAAGTAGAGCTTATCTCCATGTCACTTTTGTGTGAGCCATGTTTAGAAACTCATTTCCAAAGGAAGAGAGGAGAAATGGTGTCTACACAGTGTGGTGGGAAGAGCTGGTTGACACCACCACCTCTGGTGATCAAGATCAACATCAGTGAGATGAGACTGATTATTTTATGTGTCCATGACAGGATGCAGTAAGAGTAGAACTTTGTAGTGGAATTTTTCTTTCCAGCCTGGTCCCACTGCCCTTCAGCTCCAAGTAAACACACAAACGCTATATTAATTATGAAACTGTTGGCTGATGACCAGGACTTCTTACTGGTTAGCTCTCTCTTAATTATTAACCCATAACTACTAATCTATGTGTTTCTACATGGCCTTATCTTACCAGAGAACACCTGGAGCGTCCTATCTTTCACGTCTCTACATGGTGTCTCTCCCTGGTGTTCTCTCTCTGCCTCCTCTCCCAGAATTCTTCTCATTTCATAGTCTCGCCTATACTTCCTGCCTGGCTAGCAGCCAATCAGTGTTTTATTCATCACCCAATAAGATAAACATATATATAGAAGGACATTCCCCATCAGAGCTTTACCTCTATGTCCAAAACCCCAGTCCAGCCATGAGAAAAGTAAGGAAAAAGTCCAAATGAATGACATTTAGCCCATTTGGAAGTCTCCCTCAAAACCAGTAAGGTCATCATGACCCTGCTGTCATATCCCAGAAGAGCCTAAGGAGACATGATAATTAAATGTAATGTGTTTCCTGGATGGGATCCTGGAACAGAAAAGGGCCATTAGGTGAAAACTAGAAAATCCAAACTTAAACATTTACTCATATCTGTATATAGTCAAGGATTTTTTAAATGGACTTACTCTTTGACAGTTTCATACAGGTATATAACACATTCTGACTACATTCATCCCTTTTCCCCCTCTATACTCTCCCAACTTCGCAGAATTTTAATTTGTACTCTGGGATTGTAGTTTAACACTACAGTTTGCTTGCTTTTAAAAAAATTCTTGCTCAATACTTCCCATTTTCTGTAAGGAACTCTTACATTCTTTTTGATTGGCTACTACTGCCCTTTTATATACTTTTATACTTTAGATTTACTTTCTTTCTCTCTGTCTCTGTCTCTCTCTCTCTGTAGGTGTGTGCGCACATGTGTGTGCACACACACACACGCACAAGCACACACGAGTGTGTACGGGGGCTTCCTATAACCTAGGTTGCTCTTTAATTCTCTATGTAGCTGAGGCTGACTGTACTCCTACACCTCTTGATGCGATCCCCCAAGTGCTAGAAATACAGGCACCTTCTACCACACTTGGCTTTTGCTTTATTTACTTATTTATTTATTTAATTATTTTTAGGAAACGTCATTTAATAGCATTTAAAATCAACCAACATGTACAATGCCAACAGTGTACAGAGTTTACTTGAAATCTTGACAGTATAGCAATGAGGAATAAAAATGTGAAGACACCACCAGGTGAGAATGCACTGTCATGTAACCGACAGTGATAGTAAATCACCACCATTTGTAAATCGACTCCTGATTAGAAAGAATGCACATGTCTCTGTCAAATGACAGAGTCAGGTTTGCTTGCAGGGCTGACATTCACTTACCCAGCTCAACCTAAATCCTTTAGTCACCTTAGGTTTATGTTCCCTTCATGCTTTTATCCTAATTCACAATCAATAAATCTTATTTCTGCCAAAAACATATTCTGAGTCATCCATCATTCCTTAGTAGTTCCATTATCTTTTATATTTCTTGAGAAAACAATTAATTAATAAATAATTCAGACTTATCTTGTATTTTTCCTGCCCTAGCTTTAGTCATTTCCCTGAATTTCCCCCAATTCTTTTATTGTAGAACATTATGAGATCAGGGTGCCAAGTTTACTCATTGGTTTTGGAATGTCATTGCTTCTAGGCCAGGTGTAGACAGAAATGAAAAATATTTGTACACATATAATAACCTTGCTTGACATATACAGGTGTGGAAATTATGTACATATGAACACTCACAGTATCACAAATGTGTTTATATTAATATATATAGCCTTATCTCAATGCCGCATGACTCATTCCATGTTTCCCTGTCCAGATGAAATAAACATTTTTTTTGGTTTTTTGAGAAAGGGTTTCTCTGTATTGTTTTGGAGCCTGTCCTGGAACTCGCTCTGTAGACCAGGCTCGTCTCAAAGTCACAGAAATCTGCCTGCCTCTGCCTCCTGAGTGCTGGGATTAAAGGCATGAGGCACCAACGCCTGGCTGAAACAAACAGTTTTAACACACCCATAACCCCTAGTGAAATAGAAGCAGTAATTAAAATCTCCAAACCAAAATAAGGTCAGGACCAGATGGATTGAATGAAAAATTCTGCCAGAACTTCAAAGAAAACCGATGTTAATGGTCCTTGAATTATTCTACAAAATAGATACTGAAGAGACATTTCCAAACTTTGAATAACCACTATTACCCTGATCCCAGAACCACACAAAGACCCAACAACAAAAAAGGAAATTGTAGACCAATATCCCATCTGAGCATAAATGCAAATGTCTCGATAATTTTTATGAGCGCTAGTTGAGGTTTATTCTGTGCTGCCCAGTTCTATGAGATTTTTCATGTAAATGATTAATGTGTGAAACCATTCACTCCCCTAACATGCATTCCTGCAGCAACAATAAATATGCCATTACTTTTTGTTGCTCAACAGTGTCCCATTGTGTTGGTGTATAACAGCCTATTTATATAACCACTGGTCAAAAACATCTTGCTTGCTTCATTTTTTTGATAATTTTTAGTAAAATCTATACAAAGAAGGCTTGAACTGAGTTTGGATATGCACAAATGGATGGTGGGATAATATAATAAGTTTGCCTTTAGTTTTGAACTAGGTACCAAACCATGCCAAAATAGTTTCACCATTTTCATTCCCATTAACAATGATGGCCCTGCAGCCTCTCTCTCACTTGTCATGGCTGTTTGGGGACTTAACGGTTCTGATAAATACATAATCGTTGCTCAGTATTGCAGTTCGAGCCACTTGATAAATTAGTTTGCATGGCCCAATGACAAATGATGTTGTATATTGCTTTAAATACTTATCTTCATCCACATATTTTCTTACCTGAGATGTGGAATGTATTCACATTTTACATCTATTTCTGAAGGCTGATTGCTAACTGGTTGTTGGGTTTTATTTTAAAATTTCATACAAAGTAATAGGTTTCATTATGGCATTTCATATACATGCCATTGTACTTTGTTATTATCCAGCTACCTTGTTGCTAAGGTTTGGTTATTCTTATGTATTCTAGATTGGAGTCCATTAGCAGATTTGTGATTTGCAGATGTTTTCTCCTGACTTTTCATTCTTTAAATACTGTTCTTCCTGGAGAAGAGCTTTGGTTCTTTAATCTTCAGAAAGTTCAATTATTGTTGTTTTTTTTAATTTTGTAGACCCTGAACTTGACACTGTACTTAACAATTAGTTGCCAAACACAAGGTCATACAGTTTTCATCTATGATTTCTTCTGGAAGTTTTATACTTCATGGCTTATAATGTAGTTTCTGACTAATTTTAATTTCAATATTGTGTGAGATAAGTTACATACTTGAGTGGGGAGTGAAACGACAGGACGGAGAGAAACTGCTTTGCTATTTAAAATAATATTGTTTTAATTTAAACTAAAAATTTAATTAAAAAGTAAGCAAAAAGATATATGTTTGAACTAGCTTGTTGGAGTCCATTCCCTATGAAGGGATGCCATGCCCAGTCTTAACATGGGGAGCACTTACCCATTGGGAGGAGTGGATGGGGAGTTGGACTGGGGTGGGTGAGAGGGGATAAGAGGAGGGATGGGAGGAAGAACTTTGGTTGGAAAGTAAAATGAAATTTAAAAAAATAAAATAAAATCAACAAGAGAAAAAACGATACATGCTTGAGGGTTCATTCTTTTGCTTTTAAATGTTCAATTCTTTCAAGGCTGTTGGTGGAAAGATTGCCTTTCCATTGAGTGGCTTTCACATTTCTGTTAGAAATCAGTTTACAGGGGCTGGAGAGATGACTCAGAGGTTAAGAGAGAATGCTCTTACAGAGATTCCAAGTTCAGATCCCAGAACCCACATTAGGTGGCACATAATAGCCAGTAACTTCAGCTACAGGGTGATCTAAAATCTGACCCCCACGTATGAGAGCACCGCACTCACATGCATATACTGTCCTTCCTACATGCATAGACACACACATAATTAAAAGTAAAAATAAATCTTAGAAAATAGAAACCGTTTAATGTATCCATGTGTTTCTAGTTCAGGGTTCTCTGGTCTCTTTTGTTGCCCTATCTGTCTACCCTTTTGCTGAAAACTATTTGTATTTTGCATCTACACAATCAGTCTTGGCATCCCGAGTCTATGCTTGGTCTAAAAGAACACTGTATGTGTTGGAAATGCAGGGTTAATAAGCTACAACTACACAATCTTATTTTTTTTCCAGGTGGTTTATGGGAGGAGAATTAGCTAGCATCTTTACCTGTGCATTGATGATCACAATAGCTTGTAAGTACCTTTTCCAAGATTACTGCTCTAATTCTTGGAATTTACTCAAATCATGGTCATTTAGATGAAAAATAAATACGTATTTCTCTTTTCTACCCAAGACATTATGAAACCGCTGTTTCTCAGCCTTGCTGGCTATTTCAAAGCCACCACCTGTGCTAAGTAAGTGCTGCCTCAGTGCTATCCATGTCTGATCAAAGATGATAGAATCGGGTATTTGTGGGTGGTCTTTGCTGAGTGAGAGATGGTGAGAGGGGAACAGCCCTCATCAGCATAGGAAGAATATTTTCTTTTAGTGATAAAACCTAGTAGCAGTCATATTTATTCCCAAAAATAAATAGAAATATATTTTAGACATTAGAAGTAATAGGAAAATTTCATTTTTTAAGAAAAGTGCCATTATAGATTCATAGCATTCCACTTCCTAAACATCTCATATTAAGATGTCTTTGTGGTACAGCTTCCAAAATGCCTGGCAAAGTGCCTGTGAAATGAACTGTTACCAACTACAATCTCTCTGCCCTTTCAAACTCTCCTAATGAGAATTTCAGAGGGCTTCCAGGGTCTGGGAGATGCTCACAGAATTTAAAGCAGCTTCTCCGTGGCATCCCTTTGCAAGACAGGCTGTGTTGCTGGCCTTCACTGTGGTTGCTGCGAGGAGCAGCCACCAGGGCTTACAGATAGAGCAGGGTCTGCAGGTCAAATCAGTCTATTGGCCACCGTTCTTGCCTCCCCGCACCCTTGTTTAGGAAATCTTGGTCCCGACCCTGAAACCACAGTGGGGGGGGGGGAGTGGAGATTTCCTTTGTTTACAACTCTAAGCAAGACTGAGGATTTACTGACATTTTTAGTGACATTTCCCATGATCCCCAGCTATTCAGGTTTCTGAGGACAACCATTGATAGGATAAGATTTGCTGAATCTCATATATAGTGTGGTAATTGGGTATTGGGGTCATCCCCTAATCACTGTTTTTTTAACCCTTGATATTTACATTTGTTTAAAATTCTTCTAAGGTAACTATTTATCTCCTACCTATGTTCCAGATCATTTAAGTCTAAGTAGAGGATCACAGGCTTGCCTTATCTAGCCCTACCTAGAGTTTTTCAGGAAGGATCAAGTATTTTGGATTAATCTTGTTTATTTTTGACAGTTTCGTTCATTCATATATGACTATATATACATAATTTACACTATACAGCTGTATAATGAATTTTAGTCACTTTTACCCACTCTTACCCTATTTTGGCTCTTTTCCTTCTGAAACTTTCCTTCTTACCAAGTACCTCTCCTATTTTCATATCTTTTTTTTTGTATCTGTGACCCACTGAGTTTAAATGAGCATAGGTGGGAGATTACTTATCAGAGGAGCGTGAACACCTTATCAGTGACTACACCACTGCAGAAAGTGACACCCTTCCCCTAACCATTGTTGTCGACAGTCCCTACGGGTAGGGTGTTGCCTGGTGAGTCCTTTCACCTCCCACGAGGGAATGCTGTTGAGTCCAGTCTCTTGTGAGTTCCCAAGTCCATCAGCTGGGGTGTGTTATGTGTATAAGACCCCGAATCCCTGTGCAGCTCCCCCATCACACATATAAGGAGGTCCTTTGTTCCCACTGGTCCTGCTGACCTTCAGCCCCAAATGAACACACGGATGCTATAATAGTTATAAAATTGTTGGCCGGTGACTAGGGGCTCTTTTTGGCTAGCTCTGTCTTAATTATTAACCCATTTCTATTAGTCTATGTAATTCCACATGGTGTTGTCTGGTGCATCCTTCTTCCCAGGCTCTCTATTATGACTCTGTCTGCCTATGTTTCCCAGAATTCTCCTCATCTCCTAGCCCTGCCTATACTTCCTGTCTGGCCAGTCAGTCAATCAGTGTTTTATTCGTCAACCAAAAAGAGAAACATATATACAGAAGGACATCTCCCACCACTTATATTCTTTAAACCTTGCCATCCTGTGATGTTCCATGGTGGTTCAGCTTTGTGTGCCAGTGCTAGGCTAGCAGAAGTGGTCACAGTGTTTTCCCAGCATGTTCAAGAGCCTAGGTTTGAATATCAGAGCCACCAAACTAAAAGAGAGTAAGAAGGTGGCTTGGAGGGTAGCCCTGCTGTATAAAGCTTGCTTAAGAATGTGCAAGGCCTGCATTTGCTCTCCAGCAACACAATAAACAGACAAACAAGAACAACTTTTACCCAAAGTGCTATCTTAAAACTCCAAAATTCAGTAGCGATAGCATCATTAAGGTTTGTTAGACAGTGAGACTTATATAAATCCCTCCTATTAAAAATTAAATGCACAATTAACTGGAAAGATAAGTTGTCATCAGGTATAGAAGTTTTGTGAAGGCAGAATTCCTCAGAGTGGGAATTTAAGCCCTAAAGCCATGGAGGAGCTGTCTTCTGCCCTAGATTCTAGGCCTTCTGGATCCAATCCCTGAGGGTCTTTAGTCATAACAGCCTGTCTGAGTAATTCTTTGCACATTTACAATGACAATCTTGGAGAGCCGGTTTCTGTAACTTTTACCCCTTGGTTTGTGGAATCACTTAACCTACCAAAGCTCTCCTGGGAACTGTATAGAGCCCAGTTCATCTGAATAGTCACGAAATGAGTCTCTAATATGGGTCTCAGGGTCACAAACTCAAGGCGCATGGCTAGTCTTAGCACTTCAGAGTTTCATAATAGTCACATACATGCAATAGGCAGGGCACATTTTTCTATATGGTAAACACAAGCATGGAGCTTGTCATTAGGCCAAACGAACGCCAGACTGTGAAAGGTGTGGGGTGTGGGCTGGAAAGCCTTCCTGGAAGAGGTCATGTGTGATATGACCTGTCACAGTTACTCACCCAAGTTGGATTTTAGGCACCTCCCTGCCTCTCTGTGCTCCTTCTTTGTTCTCTCCTAAAAGCAAATACACCAAGAGTGTGTGTCGACTCTTCACTGACAGTCTCATCTATATCTTCATTTATGGGAAAAGATCTTTTTTTTGATGATTTGTGTACATACTTTGTCCTCCTCCTCCTATCCTTCCCTTCTTTCTCTCTCATTGTCTCTCCATCTTTTCCCATCTCCAGCTCACCAGTTTTCATGTACACACATGTACACATGAAGACCTGTGAAAACAAGAACTGTATGTACCCCAACGCCATCAAAACAATAGGTGCTCTATACACATCCATCAGCCCAAAGATGTCTTCTGCATTGGTGCTTGAAGGATTTCTTTATACAGTCAAGAATTCTGTGTCTGTGTTTTGAAGATGCTGCAACTCTCTCCCTCTTACATGAATGTGTCTGAAATGGTAATTAGCCTATTTATGTGGTGGGTTTCAAAGGTTAAAACCTGCCTAGTTTCAGAGGAAGACTGTGAGAGGGAAAATTGATGTATAGTGAATCCAGGTTGAGGCACCACTCTTCCTTGTTCAGATTCCTGTGTGTGTGTGTGTGTGTGTGTGTGTGTGTGTGTGATGATTCATTCATATTTCTTCTTCTCTAATCTAGATTTGACAGTCCTTGAGGAATACTGGTGATGAATGTCTTGGACCTGAATATCTGGAAACAGTAATTTGTAGTCTTCTTGGAATGAATACACCATTTTATTGGAAGGGAATGAGCAAATGGATAACTGAGGAAAAAAACTTTTATTTGACCATGTAATTTCTTCCTAAAATCTCAATTTCCACATGCAATAGTAATTGGTTCATGACATTAATATTGAATTTCTTTTCTTTCACGAACATTGTCAGTTGAAACAGAAGGGACAGGGGAAGTGACAGAGCACAGACCACCTGGAGTGATGCTCCCCTAGTTATCCTGAAGGTGGTGGACCTCAAATATTAATTTTAATTAGAGAAATCTGTGAGTGACTTGGAACATGAATATCTCTGGTCTACCAGCATGCAGCTATGCTTTGCTGACCCACTTTAACTAGACAATGCAAACAAGCTTATATAATTAATACATGTTGCATAGGAAATAGACAAAGTTTGTACACATGATACAATGTTGCAAACATCCATCCCCATGTGATGTGACGCCATCCACCTTGAAATCACCACTAAGATGAAGCAGATGCATTTGAACCTCCAGAGCTGTGAGTCAAATGAGTCATTTTTCATTACTAAGTATTCTGCCTTGGGTATTCCAATATAGTAATGGAAAACGAACTAAGAGAGTAGCTCATCACTGATGGAAAATGAGGAGGAGAGAGCTTTTTTTAATATGAATTCTTCTCTTGAATGATTTTCCTTACTAAGTTTTTAAAAATTTTCTGGGGAGTAATGATCATCTTCCTTTCAAATTGTGATTAAAATATGCTGCATAAAAGATAAAGGAAAAATAAGAGTGTTTGAAAACACAAAAAAATGGTAAAACTCTGTAACTGGCTGAAGAACTATAGAAGACACTTACTAGTCTTACCTCTCACCAAGAAATCTCAGCTGTGCCCTAATGAGAATGCTCTCCTCTGTATCCTCTGGTGAGAAACTTCTGTGTAGAGAATGATATGTTTTAAAGTGATAATGCCAAATTAACTGTTTTTATATCTGTGGTTAATAATCACTGTCATCTTGTCTGTATTCAGTGTCATCCCTGAGACACACACAGGTAGATATGTCTATGTGGTTGTTTCTGTTAGGCTGAAGAGAGAAGACTCCCCATGAACATGGGTACCAGCATCCCATGGGCTGGTGTCAGGGACTGAATGAAATAGAGCCGGGGAGAAAGGGAGCTGAGTACCAGCATCCATCTCTCTCTCTTTCATGACTGTGGGTACAATGTGACCAGTTACCCAGGCTTCTGCCCCTTGCCTTCCCATCATGATGGACTGTATCCCTGTCAACTGTGAGTCAAATAAACCTTTCCTTTCTCAAGTTACTTTTGCCAGGTGTTTTGTTGAGGCAATAAGAAAAGTAGCTAATATAATATCACTTTTATTTCTGTACGATTTTTGGCTAAGTGAAATTATACTAATAACCAAGCAGACTCGCCATCAGATTACACACATGCCATGTGCGTCATATGATTTATATTTACGTATTCCTATGTATCTTTTCACGGAGCTATTGACCTTGATTCTTTGGGTTTTTGTTCATTTTTTTTACTAGTCTATTTGTGGTTTGACTTTTTGTTTGTTTGTTTTTGTTTTGGTATTTGGCTTCAGAGACAGAATCTCTCAGTGTGCAGACCAAAGGTAGCCTAGAATTCACCATGTGACTCAGGCTGGCCTTGAACTCATGGCAATCCTCAGGACCCAGCCTTCTGAGCATTGTGATGACAGCCATGAGTCTCCAAGACCCACTGTGTGTCTTCACATTAAATTGTGTGAATATCCTATGTATTGTATGAGATAGATGGCAAAAGATACTTCCTGCCAAACCCATAGCTTTTGTTTTTCACTTTGTTCATTATTTCTTAAGCTGTGCATATGCTTTTAATTTAATACCCTCCCACGTGTTCATTTTTATCCTTGATGCCTGCGATTTTGGTGTGATAATAAAAAAAATCATTGCCAAAGCCAATATCAACAAACTTTTTTTTGTTCTGTTTTCCCATGATTCTCAAGAGCTTACATTTAGGACTTCAACACATTTTGAGTTGATTATTGTATGTGGTAGGCTGTAGTTTGAATATGGAATGCCACCACAGGCTCACATGTTGAAGGCTTGGTTGACAGCTGATGCCGCAGCTGAGAAGTGGTAGGAACTTTAGAAAGTGGACCTAGGGAGGTAATTTGTCACTGGAAATATTCCCTTAAAAGGCATTTTTAACATGGTCCCACTGCAGAGAGGGTCTGTGCTGATGTCTCATGTTCCTGCTACCATCGAAGACCATACAGACACCAAAATCAAGGGCCAAGGTAGTGTCTCAGGGCCATGCTTCTGCTAAGGGCAGTGGTGACATCCAGACCCAGAGGCTGCTAAGGAGTATGTTGAAGTCCATGGTCCTCCTGTGGCTGGGAGTCTGACCTTCATGAAGTCCAGGTACTGAATTGCCACCAATAGTCACTAAGAGGCCCAGGTTTGGGGCTGCAACCTGAGGCCTTGGTGGCATTTGGCAACTACACAGGTGCTGGAACCATTTTAGAATTCAGCCAGCACTTATTGTTATATTTGAGAACACATTAATGCAAGAAAGGAGGCAGGTAAAAATGGTTTGAGACTTGCCATCTGCCTTCAAGAACTTTGTCTAGTAGGGAAAGGTCGCATTATATAAAACAAGAATATAATATAGCCACTGCTGATAAGATGCACTGATGACCTTGCTCATTGGAGGTCATACTTCTGGATGCTAGCTAAAATGATATATGCCATTATTTAAATAAAAATACGCATTTCTCACAAATTTGAAGGCTGAGAAGTCTGAGCCCTAGTCACTGGTAATCCTCACATAGATGACCTCACATGGAGGAGAAAGGTGCTGTGTCCCTTCCTCTTCCAATAAAGCCACCAAGCTGGTTCACAGCAGGGCACCTTCATGGTGTAGTTATTTTACAAAATCTACCTATTAAGGCCATCACACTGGGCAGGAGGGCTTCAGTATATGAATTTGGATATGGACAAGACTATAAAAAGCTATGATGCTCACTATGGTTATCTTGAGTTGCTAACACTCAAGGAGAGACTCTCAGTGAGGGATTGTCCACATTGTATTGGCCTTTGAACACGTCTATATGTGATTATCATACTAAAGTTAATTGATGTAGAAAGACCCAGCCCACTGTGGGTGATACCATTCCCTCGGTAGCAGATTCAGAACTGTATCAGAGTAGAGAAATCAATGTGGGCACAAGCAAGCAGGTGTGCCTTCGTTCATTTCTTTTTGCTCTTGATATGCTGTGAGTAGCTGTTTGAAGTTCCTGCCTTAGTTCCCCAATTATGGCAGATTATAATTTAGGATGCAAGCTGAAACACATTCATTTCTCTAGTGAGTTTCTTTTGGTCAGGGCATTTTATCATGGCAACAGAAATGGAAGTAGAAAATGTGTGCCTAGTACTAGTAGAGATTCAGATTTTGCTGAAGTTATTACATTTGACTTACATACATCTTCTAAAGATCTTCACTCTAGATAATTATCTTGTTGCTCTAGAAACAACATGTAATTTATAGCCATTTATCTTATTCACCTATATAAAAATTTAACCAGGAGCTGGAGAGATGGCTCAGAGGTTAAGAGCACTGACTGCTCTTCCAGAGGTCCTGAGTTCAATTCCCAACAACCACATGGTGGCTCACAACCATCTACAATTCAATCTGGTGCCCTCTTCTGGTATGTAGGCAGAATGCTGTATATGTAATAAATAAATCTTAAAAAAAAAAGCCTGGCAGTGGTGGCGCACGCCTTTAATCCCAGCACTTGGGAGGCAGAGGCAGGTGGATCTCTGTGAGTTCAAGGCCAGGCTGGACTGACAGCCTCCAAAACAATACAGAGAAACCCTGTCTCATAAAACAAAACAAAAAAAAAACCAATTTAACCAATCATCACACTTTCTGGTCACCAGATAACCACCCTGTGCTTTCTAGAAACCCTGATGTTTCTTAGTCAAGGAAAAATTGTCTCTCCAGGAACATGTGTCCAAGGACTGAAAACTGACGAGGTATGTAATTTCAAGTGTCAAATATGCTTAAGAGACCAGATAACACATATATAAATAAAAGCATTTTTAAAAAGCATTTACAAAACCCCAAGTTTCAGGGATTCGTGTTAATTCTTCTTCAGGGATGCTGAGGACCCAGATACTGTGGCTCTCTTTAGGGGAGAGGCAACGAAACAATGTGAACATAAGCTTTTCTCTGTCTCACTCTGTCCCAATGGACTGGCTTCTATTCCCCTGCTGGCCCCCTCACTCTGAGGCTTAATATTAATTATAATTGTTTGACCAATGGCTCAGGCATATTACTAACTCACTCTCACAATTAAATTAGCCCATTTCTATTATTCTGTATTTCACCACGAGGCTCATGGCTTGTTACCTCACATATTACTTCCCCTTTTGCTGCATGGCATCCCCCTGACTCCACCTTCTTTCTCTCCATACCTCTGTTTGGATTTCCCACCTGGCTCTACTCTGCCTGGCCACTGGCAAATTTAGTTTTATTCATCAATCAATAAAGGCAACACATATTTGCAGAATACAGAAGGACATCCCACATCACAACAAACCATTAAAAATGAGGAAAGGGAAGAGGAGTACAAAAATGACCATAGTTGTGAGAAGAAAGAACCGCTGGGAACACCCCTTTTGCCTGAACCTGCCCTTGCAAAGGCAGCACTGCATAATCTACCAAATACCCTGAACGCCTCTCCATCAGGTTAGGGCTGTGTGTCAACTTGGTTAGGCTATGGCGCCTGGTGGTTTGACCAATACTGGCCTCACCCTTGCTGAGAAAAAGTATTTTTAAAACGTAAGTAACATTTACAGTGGTGGGCATTAAGTGAAACACATTGCCTTCCACGGTGTGGGGGTGGGTGCCGCATCTTTGTGAACGGAGAGTGAGGCTTTTCTAAAAGGAGTGAATTCAGCTTGCAATTGTGAATGGGAGCACCCTGACTGAGACCCCAGCTGACAGACCCGAGATGGCTACATGGTGTCTCAACTTGAATCACTAGGTTGTGAGCTATCCCCAATGACACGGTACTAGCCAGCACCGACGAGTCTATAAATCTTAAAATCATTGCTCCTGGTAGGGCTGCCCAGACGACTCATCAGTTAAGTAAGAGAGCTCGCTGTCCCAGAGAACATGAGCAGGTAGGTATGTACATATGTATTTATATGTGTGTTTGTTCTGTACACACACACACACACACACACACACACACACACACTGAGTATGCTGTCAAAGACTTCAAGAGAATAGAACCAACAGAACTTATTAATTAATGTTTATAATACAGCTGTATATGACATGACTCGTATACAATTTAGAAAGTAATAGTACAATTTTATAGTGTAATATATTTGTAGGATATATAATACAGTTTTCAATCTGTGATATATAATTTAGAATATTATAACCAATGGGAAATGTGATAGATAATGTAATTATGGATAATATATATCCTCTACCTTATTGGTTATATTTCTCAGGGGTAATTGGTTAATGCGGCAGGCATGGTAATTATCATTCTGTACATCTTATAGCTAATCTGAAGGCATCTTTACTTTCCCAAGGAAGTTAGTAGGAGTTCTAAATTTCAGTCAGACTTGTCACCGAGAACGGAATGCATGAGGGGACGCTGTCTCAAAGATCAAATAGCTCAAGTGCCGGTTACCATCAGAGTGCTAACTCAGGGAACTTTGTTCATGAGGCAAAAGACTAAATAAAAGCCAAAAGAACTATGATCTCTTTTCCATTTCTATCTCAGGGTCCTCAAAAGTAATATTCCAGAATTTCTATGCAAGGGCTATACAGTAAGGAGAAATCCATTGCCTTTCCCATTTCAGGGTGTCTGCTGCAGAGAGACACGGAAGGGCTTGCATGGTAGTGGGGGAGGCCAGGCGAGCACCCAGGTCTGGTGTAGCTCTGCTGTGCTGAGAGAGAAGGGGTCAGATGCGAGAGTGGATATTCGCTTGCCCCAAGCCACACGGCTCAATGAAGGAGGCTGGCTCCACCAAGTCCGTAAGGGTCCTTTGCCGTCACCTCACCCTACCCCCACCGCAAATCTGCTCCAAGAGCCATCTACTACGGTTAAGGCAAACAACGGAGACACAGAGCGATCAGCCTGTGCTGGCAAAGTGTGCCAGCCTCCACCCAACAGGAATCCCTACTACTGCTCACACGCAACAGCAGACCCGGGCACCTGCTAACTTGGCACGCTTTTCCTCCTGCCACATTTCTGAAGCGGGCCTCGTTGAAGGCCTGATTATCTATT